AAAAAAAAATGAAAAAAACAAGAAGTAGAGAAATAACGCAAATTCAAAAAAATTCTATTAAACAGAATAGAACCTCTAAATTAACACATATTTTATAATATTATTGAATATTATCAACTAAGGTTATTATGATTTAATTCATCTTTCTCCAACAGAGATTTTTCAGGATCTTTTTTCACGAGTTCGTTGGCTGTTCCGCTCTTTGGAACATCTACAGCCCAGGGCTGTACGTCAGCTGAATACTTATTTGAACCATTAAAAACCATTTGAAAAACCGAGTTTAACTTTCACTTGCTCATTTTTCCGCTAATTTCATTTATGCAGTATTTGGAAACGACGGAATAAGAAATTTTTCAATGCATCCGAAAAAAGTAATAACAAATTGCAAACATAAATACATCAAAAAAAAAATTATGTGAAGGATCAAGAAAACTGTGGATGATTTAAGTAGGTAATAAAAATTCTTAAATGCAGCAAAACAGGGACTTCAAGTTTAAAGTAATTTTTACGTATAAAAAAAATCAAATGAAGAAAAACCTACCAGAACCACATATTTGGTAGAAAATACCAGTGACTGTTAAGGTGGCTGCCATCACTATAAACACCAGTCGCCATTCAGAAACCGTGCCCTGTAGGAAAGAGACTATTAAGAAAGCTGAAACAAAATGAAGCAAATTTATTTCATTTAACAACATTGTCAGGAACATGATTCTGAACGTTAGAACGATAGAAAAAAATTCTATGCTGGAAGGAGGTAGAGTGTTGAGAACAAAGAAACCTAACTTTCAGAACCAGCTTCAAGAACAATTATAAAAAAACCTACCCTTCTATTTATAAATCCGATTAGTGATGGAGATGCAACCGAAGCCAAATTCCCTAATAAACGACAAAAAGATGCGACAGCGGATGTGTACTTTGGGGCAATGGAAACAATGCTAAAAACTCAAATTCACATGCAATCACTGAAATGAAAATAGAATATGCTTCTACCAAAATGCTTTCAACACCAGTGTGGAATTACGTGAACTAACCCCGTCTGATATCCAGGTACGTACCCCGAAAGAATCGCCATAGCCATACAGATCATGAATACTGCAGCCCACTTAGTGTGACAATCCAAAAAAAGTAGACAGAGATAACAAACAGCAGTACCAATGGCAGCTAAAACAGTTTTAATAAATCTTAATGCAAAACTCCACGCGAAAAGAAGAGTTAGAAATCAGTATTTTTGACGAAATAGTGGTATTTAGTCCGCAATCTCAAACTTCTAGGCTAGTGCGTCACTTAATAAATGAAGATTAAAAAAATGGTGTATTAAAATTAAAAACAAAATTATTGAAACAAAATGTATGCACATAATGCTTCTAAAATGACGAAAAACGCAAAAACGAAAGCCCAATAGGTTAGGCAAAATTTCAGATAACCTCAAAACCCTACCAATAAAGTTGCATGCTTTCGTGATCGGTGTCAAACCAAAACCATGTTTAGCAGCTACCGTAGCAAAGTAAACGAAAACAACCTTGGATAAGAGCTGCGAGACGAATGGAGCAGCTGATAAGATCCCATTCTATAAAATCAAAGTAAAATATTTCCACCAATCCTAAAAGTACCAAATTTTATTTTCCTATCCAAATTAAACCGTTTTTCAGGCCTTAGTTTCTAAAACCCTCTGAACTATAATAAGTTCAACAAAATGAAAAAAAATTCAAAAACCCTCCAAAAACAATAAAAAAGTGCGATGCAAATGCATAAAAAATTTAAAAAAAGCCCATCAGAAAAATAAAATAGTAAGTAATATAATAAGAAACTTACTGCAGTAAGATTCATACGCAAAACGGTTCTGTAATATAGTGGAATGTAAGTGACCATGCCAACTGTCGCGAAAGACTGACTGAATGAGCTCATCGCAGTAGCCCAAACTGAATACGATGACAAAATTACTTTCCACGGCGTATCCTGAACCGCTAATAAATACTTCTCAGTGCCGCAATTCATCCCCCACAAAAAGAGTGCAAGAAAACTTGTTTCACGTTCTACAGGAAAATCCATCAAAATGATGACTTATCAAGATAGTTAACTTTCATAACTTGTTACAAACTAAAAAAAAGAGAAAATCTAACTCATCACAGAATGCAAAAGGCACCCATCGTTTGCTCTTCTGAAAAATTAGTAAGTGTCAGGAAAAAACACAGGTTTCAGATTTGTTTGTTCACCAAAACCAAGATATCAATAAATTGTGCGCTTACAGGAGCTACTCTCTTCTTTCCTCTTACGCCTGTTCCACCCGTGATATAAGACAACTCAGCGTCTGAAATACCCTTATATCGCGTTGGAACATCTCTAACGAAAATACACCATGAAACACATAACGCAACACCAAGAAGACCTAGACAGTAAAAACTTGGTCATTAACTTAAAGGAAAGATACGTTATTCAAATTAGAGTATGTAGAACTCGGGAGTCTTACTATAACGAAATATTAAAAGAGGAGTCAATTAATTATGAAAAAACAGAATATATTGCAGTACTCAAAAAGTAAAAAATCAATAAATAACCGTGAAGATAAAAAGCGGTGGGCCATCCATCTAATACTGGAACCTGGCAGAGTTCGGCAGTGAAAATCATAGCAAATATGATCGAAAGCTGTAATAAAAAAATTCAAAAAAAGAATGTTAGGAAACCTACTAACACTCAGTAAATTCAGTAAAAATAATAAGATTCAAGACTTTTAGCAAAAAGACAAAAAAGAAAGCCAAGAACGATACTTTGAACTTTAAGGTAATTGAGACTCCGCTTAAAAGACGAACTTTGAATGATAACGGGTACAACTTTTATTTATTACTTGTCATAAACCACTTATTTAGCAAAAATAAAAATAAATTGAATTTTATTCAAACACCACAAGTGTTTTCCAATTTCTTCCGATTTTTAAGAAAAATCACAGACATAGAAAACCAGAAAAATTGAAAAAAAATGAATATACAAAAAGTTATCGAATTTCCAATACTGAAACGAACTCAACGAACAGTAGTGAAATTTTCAGCACTATAGTGAAGCATAAAAAAGCTACTCGCGATTAACTAATCTATGTACTATTGCTATAAAGAATTCTGGTCAAGAATGGAATTTTGTTGAAATTTTATTCCTCGTTGCATGTAACTGAAAAAGATTTTAAGGAAAAAGACCCCATATAATGAGAAAAATCAAATTTTAAGGGTACCCATTAATCCACAATATAGAAAGGTAAAAATAATTAAATAGTACATTGAAAGTTTCTTATAGTCAATGCGAGGAATTAATTTGCTTAAAGTCATTCAAAAGCCTTATTAGAACCATGAACTCTGACCGTTTTTAACCTTCTCGTTCAATTTAGACACTTCTTCTATAAAGTAGTAACTTCAAATTTTTTCAAACGAACAACGAGCAAAAGTTCAAAGAGACTCAGCCCCCTGACAAAGACTACCAAATAAAATAATGCTGAATGAAATTTTCGATTGTTTTTCATTCTTTTGACTTCACTTGTAGTTCGACAAAAGGCAATTAAATTAACACACAGATAAGATTAATTGAAATAAACATTTAATAAATACTTTAAAAACACTACTACAAATTTCTACTCCTAGGACAACTTTTAATTTTAGTTTTCTAATAAGTCTAAAATAACAATATAAAAGTTCTTCGCTTTCAATTCAAATATTGTAATTCTATCTCGAACAGAATCACCAAAAACAATTTTATATGTAAAAATAATGAAACATTTCTTTTTTTCTACAAAAATGATTTGTGGAAGAAGAATAACTGGCCAATACTCGAAAAATTAAAGCAACTACAACAAATTAAAAAACTGACTTTATCCCCTTGCTAAAGGACTCTGCAAACTTACTTGGTTACCTGCCGTTGAAATCCCAAGTGCAAAACTCTTTTCTTCGGGTGGAAACCAATGCGCTATCAAAACGCTAGTACAAGGAACCAATATACCTTGTCCGGCACCCATTAAAAACCGCACAAACATTAAAACAAAAGCTCCTAGATATTCTGACACCAAAGGTGTAACCAGCGTTCCAACAACATTAACAATAGCTCCAATTTGTACTACTATGGTGGCTCCAAACCAGTCGATCAAATACGCTTAAAAAGTCAAAAAAAAATTAAACAGCCACTCAAAGAATCAAAAATCATTCATGGCACAAGTAAAAATTTCTCTTGTTCAGAACCGATAGCTTAATTCGCTTACGTACAAAACAAAAAGATTATATAACACTCTGAAGAGCGCTTAACGAAGGAACATCAAAAGAATTTGAAATAACTCACTTCCTGGAACAACAGTCAATAAAGTGCCTAAATAATAAGCAGCAAAAATCCACCCTTGCTGTTTAGTACTCCAAACAATCCGACCGTTCTAAATATAAACAACTGCTTGAAACGTATCAAGGTTTACAAGCGCCCGACGGAAAGAAACGACTATTTCTTCAAAGAAGCAATAAACTATAATGATGAAATTTTCAACAAAATAGAATAACTAAAGTTTAAGAACAGCCTCACATAGTTCTTTTCAATCTTTTCAGGTATGACGTCGCAAGAATCTTTACTAGCGTCGTCCATTGTTTTGGAAATGACGACAGTGTCTAATTTAGGGAGTTTAGATCCAGAAAGGTTTGTTGCGAAGTTACTTTCTAGAACAGAAATAAAT